AAGTGCCTGCATCGTTCAGCACAGCAGAGTGAATCTCCGAGAATCAGTTCCCATGCCCAGCTGCAGTCCTTCTGCAGCACGATGCCTTGGGGCTCTTTTCTCCAAGCAAAGTCTCCCTTTTCCACTTTTGAGTCTGAAAAGGGTGAGGTCAGTTTTTCAAGGCATCCTTTGTATTGCCCAAATCTAAAGTACTTTGCTTCTTTTTAATGCTATTTTTATAGGACCAACCAAATAGCTCATGGATTAAAGATCCTGCTTAGACACACACAGCACTGTGCTGACCCCGCCCCTGGGGCACGCTGAGATGGCGAATGAGACTGGGCATGGTGGCGCGTGCCTGTAATGTTATTTTTAAATAACTGTCATCGTTTTGAGTTTTCCAAGGGGAACAATACAATATAGGACATATTTTATAAGGTTATTTTATAATGAATCACCCAAAGAATTATACACAAAGAGTACAGGAAATCTGCCCTCACACTAAAGACCCAAGGCTCTAGCTGAGGGCTTGTAGATGAAGACACCTAGAGCTCATAACAATGCCTCCCACGAGTCCAACTGGAGGCCTAGCGCCCATGACAATGTCTCACACAGGCATGTTTCACAGACCTGCTCTGGGAAGGTCTCAAGGTCAGTGGTGGAAGCTAGGAAGTCTGCATGACCTCCAGCGGGATGAAGGATCTGTGCCAGCAGGCTGAGGAATCTGAACTGGAGCCAGGAAAGTGACACTCACAAAGTAAGAACCAGAGCTTTACCAAAAAGTACCACATCCATCCTCAGTGACAGTGAGGTCCTGAGCTCCTCCAGCAGTGAGGTCAGCCAAGTTCCCATCAAGAAAGCCAGTGTGACAAGCTTCTCCAGGAAACTGAGCTGTGTATGATCTCCCCTCCAGAGCCAGGAAGAGATGCTCCAAGTGAGGACCAGAGCTCCCCCACGGTGAACTGTAGCCATTCTGAGCAACAACAAGGCCTCGAGCTCCTTTGATGATGAGAACAGCTAAGTCCATCAGGAAAGCTAGAACAAGTTTCTCCAAGAGGACCACAGCTCCCTACAGCCTCCCTAAAAGCTTCCAGCAGCTTCTAAACAGCTCCCAAACAGCTTTTAATAGCTTCCTATGGCCTCTTTTCTTTCCCATTTATGCCTCTTACACTGCTGGCAACAATCCTCAGGTGGACCACCCACATCCAGTACCATGCTAGCTTAGTCCAGCTGGGAATTAAAGTTGACCACTAGCTGGCAATCCACCACAGTAACCAAGCTGTCCTCCGCTGTACCTTTAATGGCCCCAACTGACAGAGACCACTACAAAATGGCTCTAAGCAGGATTTAAAATTAATCAATTGGCTTTCTATATTACTTGTGTCTTTGTCCCAAGCCTAAGTGATTTGCTCAAAGAACAGTGGCTGATGTGCAGTAGGCATAACTTTCCATGCTAACAATCACAGATGAGGCCTGTATTGGTCTGTGACACTTCAGAGGGCAAAATGAAGCTACAGCTAAGGATACCTGGCTCTGGCACCAATTCTTAAGATAAAGACTGCGGCTCTATCCCTTTGGCTCCTGCTGTAAAAGCAACCTTAGAGGTAGGACAATCCTCTTAATTGGCAAAATTTACTGCTTGGAGAAGTCTTTGATCTAAAATTCCCAAGGTCTTGCTCAGTTTCCTGCCTTTGCTGCAGCTATCCCTTTTCTTTGTTTGAAAAACCCATTAAATGCAAATGACCCAGAAGACTTGAGGTCTTAGCTTCCAGAGAGTTTTGACCTTCCTGGACTCCCCCAAAGTCAGATTACTTTTTTAAAATTTAAGCCTTTACCATAGCACATTTTAGGAGGTCAGGGGCCTGATCAGTCAGTCCCTGCTACTCAAGTTTACTGGGGGTTTCCTTTTGGGTCAAACTCAAAACTTCTAAAATAATTCAGCTGTGCTACTTGCTCTTGATTCTTAACCTAGATCTGGCTAAAATCCCCCAACAGAACCTAAACCACTGCCTGAATGTCTGGATGCCTTGAAAGTTCAGCTGTTGAGTTCGTCTGCTACCCTTTACTTCAATCTCTCCAAAGTCATAGGACATGACAGAAATGAAAATTGTTCTGCCAACGCATAACACACATGGCCTGGAATTCAACTGCAAGTGTAGTCTTTCTAGCTCCCAACCAAACCTCCTGAACTTGGTCTTTACCAGCTGCATTTCTATCAACATTCTGGTCTTCTGAGCTCTGGCCAGAATCTCACATCAAGCTCATCTCACAACATTCCAGGGCTGCTTCTCCAGCTAGCACCTCCCAATCTTTAAAAAGTCCACCTACAAAATAGGTGCACAGCACTGTGAACCACATGTGCAGGTAGCACGGCAGCAGCACCCCCATTCCTGGTATAAAAATCTGTCTTAATTACATTCTTGTTCCTGGAACATAATACCTGACACCTAGAACCCTAAAGAGTAAATGTCTCCTTTGGCTCACAGTTTGTAGAACTTTGGGTCCATAGTTGGCTGGCTCCAAGCTGGGGCAGCATGGTGGGTGGGCCTGAAGGAGAAGAAAGAACTCATGGCCCAATGGTGGGAAGGAGAGTTCAAGGGATGGAGGAGAGAGGGAGACAGTGCTTCTGGGTCACACTCAGTGGCCCACCTCCTCCAACCAGCCTTCACCTCCCAGCATCACATTTAGCTACAAACTCAGCAGTGGACTAAGCCACTACCGAGTGTCACACCCCCATGATACAGTCACTCCCAAAGTCTCCTATAAGTGTGTGAAACTTGAAGCAGATATCTACATATAAGCTATAACAGTTTGCCAATGTTGAATAATGCTTGATTTTTTGCAGTAAATTTAATTTCACAGCCTTTCGCCACAGCAGCTATTGAAGAACAGTAGCCATAGACCTATGCTATCCCATGGCCATGGGCCTTAACAAGGGCCACAAAGTGACTAAGAATGTGAACAAACCAAGGCACAGCAGCCATCGCGGACACTTCACCAAACACACCAAGTTCACGCGGGACATGATCCAGGAGGTGTGCGGCTTCACCCCCTATGAGCTGCGCTCCCTGGAGCTGCTCAAAGTCTCCAAGGACAAATGCACCCTCAAGTTCATCAAGAAAAGGGTGGGGACGCACATCTGCATCAAGAGAAAGCATGAGGAACTTAGCGAGATGCTGGCTGCCATGAGGAAGGCAGCTGCCAAGGACTGAGCCCCTCTGAAATAAAGATTTGCAGAAAGCTCTAAAATAAATAAATTTAATATCACAAAAACAAGTGAATCTGATAAGAGCTAAAGCCCTGAAATGCCCTTCAAGGCCTCACTCTGCCTCTCCCCCAATGCTACTTCATTACTCACTGTATTTGTTTACTAGGGCTGCCATGAAAAAGCACCACAAACTGAGCAGTTGAAACAGTACAAACTTACTGTCCCACAGTTCTAGAGCCAGGAAGTCCAAGATCAAGGAGTCAGAGAGCTGTTCTTTTCAAGAAATATGTGGAACAATCTGACCTATCCCGTGCACCTCCCCAGCTCCTGGAGACTTGTGGATAATTGCTAAAACCTCTTGATCTACCACAGCAGCACCCAATCTCTGCACACATCTTTGCATTGGGTTCTCCCTGCATGTATGTCTGTGTCAAAATTTCCCCCTAGTATCCTGGGAATTAGGATTTCAGCATACGACTTTGGGATAAGGGGACACAGTTCAAACCAGAACACCCTCTAATAGAATCCTCCCACTTGGCCCCTCAGCACTGCTCCTGCCTTGGGGCGTTGAGTCATCAGTTCTCTCTTCTTGAAATCTCTTCCTCCAGAACCCTACAAACAACTCACCCACCTCCCCACATGCCTGCGGCCTGCTCCTTCTCCCTCCCCCAGGCCACCCTGTCCTCTTGTTTGTTCTCTTGCCTCCCCCAGCCTTCCTGGTGTCCTTTATCAGACTTTCAGGGCTCTTTGCCCATCTCCTAACCGCCTAAGTGCTTTGCTTTTTTATCATATAGTCCCTTATTTATTGCCTCCTTCTCCCTCCTCTAGAGACTATAAGCATCAGGAAGACCAGGATCCTTATCTATCTGACCTCTGTACTCTAAGTAGTACTTAGGAGAAGAGCTTGCCAAGTAGAGCTGCAATATCATTTGTTGCACAGAGAAATTCAAAAAAAGAAAGAATGTGGGAATTATACGGTCCTCACCACTCTGGGAGGCTGAGGCAAGAGGATTGCAAGTGTGAGCCCCACCTGGGCAATTTAGAAAGACCCTGCCTCAAAAGAAAATAAAGGTGAAGGGGATTGAGCGCAGCATGAAGATACTGGGTCAACTCTACAACAAAAGATAGATCTATGTCTGGTACCTGCAAGACTCAACAGTGACTTGCCGTCTATTTCTGTCACCTCCAGCCACTGCAACAATAGCCCACAAGACTATAAGCGGTGATTTAGCAATGCAGGATCTCTTCTGGCAACACCTGGGATCAAGCAAGGCAAAAGGAATTTAGTCCTGCAATCGGGGCTGTGGTGTGAAGACCAGTCCAGGAGAGGGTGGATTGTCTTCCAAGCAAATTCAATAATTGGCAAGGTCAAGTGAAGTGATATTGAGGGGCATCCCTCTACCCCACAGGAGCTCCCAGGAGAATGAACTGGGCTAGCCACCCTCATCTAGAATCTAACACCTCAGCTTTCTCATCCATCCCTTCTCCCCAGAGTCCTCCCAGAGAAGGGTTTAGCCATTGCCAGGGAATGAGAGATCTAAGTTCCTGAAGTTATCACAGGAGTTAAGCATTTACCAGTTCTGTCTCTGGGACCAATCACCATTTCCTGCCCACAGACCCTTCCTCCTGGTCCTCAACCTCTTTGAAATTTCAAATACAGAAATACGGACCCAGCCAGCAAAGGTCTTAGAGAAAGCAAGTTCCAAAGAAGTGAAACTTTTAGCTTCTTGGTCCTTTGGCTCAGGCCACAATACAATATATCATAGACTGGGAGCTCAGGGGAGGTAATTCAAAACAGAAAATGATTTCTCACAGTTCTGGAGCCCAGAGCGCTAAGACCAGCAGTGGCCGAGTTCCCGCACAGGCACCTTCCTGGCTTGCAGACCGCTGTCGTCCTGGTGTGTCCCCAAGTAAAGGACTGGAGAGCTCTGGTTTGTTCCTCTTCTTATAAGGATGCTGATCCCATCTCACAAGGCCCCACCCTCATGAGCTCATCTACACCTAATAGCTTCTAAAAGGCATCACTTCCAAACAGGATGGGGTGGCTCCTACCTACAGTCCCAGCACTCAGGAAGGGGAGAAAGTTAGATGCAATTTGAGGCCAGCCTCTGCTACATACAGACTCTGTCTCAAAAAACAAAAACAAAACAAAAGGTGCCGCCTCCAGACATTATCACAGACACATTTGGAATATCTAGGGCTTCAGTAGAGGAATTAATCTGTGGAAGAGGCAGCGCATCAGCACATCATAAGCACCATGTCATACTTTGACTTGAACAACTTCTTTCTCTGGTAATGCTCGCCCATATTTGAAAGGAAAGCCATCGGCAAATTCTAACAGTTGTCTCTGTCTTTGATGCAGGCTTATTTATTTCTCTTACATCAAGCCAACTGCATTGAGCTGTACCCTACGTAGCCCAACCAGCATAGCCAACATGCTGTCTGACAGCCCCAGCTGCCAAAGTGGTATCCATGGCTGCAATAAAAATAAAGCACACAAATGGTCCTGAGGGTGGAGGGGCTGGAGATGGAAGCTGGGCAGATGGAGACAGGTGGGAAGAACAGTCATCGTTAATAGCTCTTAATATTTTTTGCGACACAGGAAAGAGGTCCCATGTACATCGTAAATGTAAAAAAAAAAAAAAAAAAACACTTTTTAAAATGTTTTATTAGTACATGTTTGCAGTACCTAACGATCACATTCATCCTGGGGGTTGGTTTGTGTATACAATACAGCCTAGTTCTTTTCATGTCCTCTCCCCCTCTCTCCCTTCCCACCTGCATTTTCTCCCTCCTCTTACCCTCTGTCCTCCTTTCACTTTGTGTTCTATTATCTATTTTTTACTTTGTTCTTTGTTTTTGCTTTCTCATATAAAAGACACCATGCAATTTTAAGCATTTGACCAGGTGTGTGCCACCATACTTGGTTTTGATGATCAGCACAGCATGTGGAACTGGGGATCGAACCCAGGTCCTTGCACTTGCCAGGCAGGTGCTTAGATAACTGAGCAATCTCCCTAGCCCAAGTTTATCCTTCTTTATGGCGTCCAAAGCAAAAGGCCATTAGTGAAATGCAAATTAAAACAACACTAGAGATTCCATCTAGTAGTGGCCCACTGTGTATAAATACATTTTGTTTATCCATTCAAGGTAGTGCTCCACTGTGTATAAATACAGCTTCTTTATCCATTCAACTATGTTAGACATATAGGCCACTCCAAGAAGTAGCTATAAACATGGGTATGTATTTATGACTGTATTCTGATGTCTCTAACTCTTTACAGAAGACATATAAAAGGAAATAGCTGAGTCAAATGGAATTTCTTATTCTGGTTTTTTGAGGCAGCTCCATACTGGTTTCCTCAGTGGTTGTGCTACTTTACAATCATTCTAAGAATGAACAATGGTCCATTTTTCCCCTGTAGCCTCACCAAATTTTATTATTCTTTGATTTCTTGCTGACAGATATTCTTTCTGGAATAAGATGGAATCTCTAGTGTTTTTTTTTTAATTTTATTTATTTATGTGTGTGTGTGTGTGTGTGTGTGTGTGTGTGTGTGTGTGTTTATGTGGCCAGCTCAGCCCACCAGGGGGCGGGGCTGGCTGGCATGTGGTACTGGGGGATTGAACCACAGTCCCTGTGCTTTGCTAAGCTTGTTCTAAGTAGGTGCTTTAGACCACTGAGCCATCTCACCAGCCCTCTAGTGTTGTTTTAATTTGCATTTCACTAATGGCCAGAGATGTCAAACATGTTCTCATGTATTTATTTGCATTTGTATCTCTTCTTCAGAGAAGTGTCTGCTTTGGTTGCTGAGTTTTGATTGGACCTTTTGCTTTGGATGTCTAATATTTTTAGTTATTTATATATTCTAGATATTAGTCCTTTGTGGAATAGCTGGCGAGAATTTGCTTCTCTGGCTCTCACTCTGGCT